TTTTTTTTTTTTCCCTACAGGGGGCCGGGGTCCCGGGTGCCGACCCCCGGAACCCCGGAACCCCGGCGGGGTCCCGGGGCCGGGGTTCGACAACCCTGATTAAGAGTCGAGGGCATGATTAAGAATTGAGGGCCAGCAGGTGCCGCTCCCCACCAATAGATGGAGCTGCCCGACAGATAAGCCCTCAATTCGGACGGTTCTCTTACCACCGCCGGAATCGAGGGCTTACGCAAGGGCTAGTTAAAAAAAAAAAAATAAAAAAAAAATAGTTGAGGGCTGATCAACCCTAATCAATGAAGGGGGGAGATCATCTATCCTACTCCCACCCGGTGACTCTAAGCCTGGGTGATGCTCCCAGTCCGGGTCTTTATGCTCGTCAAAAAAGGAAACCGAGCAGAGACGTGCACAAGTTCCTGCCAAACTTGCCATGGGGAAAAGGTATACAGAAAAGAGGAAAACTGGAGATCGTCCTTCGCCACATCGTACAGAGAAGATTAGCACCGCCCCTGCGCACACGCATAAACCGAGGAAAGGAAAAAAGAAGTGAGAGCAGAAAGTAGAGGCTCCAGCAGGGTAGTCCCACTAGCAGTGGATAGAGGGTTATGGTGGATCGTGTGTGGCACTGTGTGGCGGCGGCACGACAGGTTCATAACAATTTTTTTGGCAAAGAAAACAGGAGAAAGGCACCCAAAAAAAGAATGCTGGCAAAATGCTCGGTATTTGCATTAGCCGGCCTCCCCCACCGGTGGCCCCATCCTACCCCCTGACCACCCCCTATTAGGGCGGGTGGCAACTACATCCCCTTGATTGTGAGAGGTAGTTATTCTTGCAGGGATCCCCTGTAGAGGCTTAGAAGTTAGAAGCTTTGGTAGGTAGGTAATGAGACAATTTGGACACTGACTGATTTTCCTCTCCCCCATTTGCTTTCATTTGATATGATTCATCTGTTGAGTTTGATTGGACTATAATATTAGATTGATTTACCTCCTTGGTTTGTTTCCATTTGATTTTGATTGCTTTGTATTTGTGCGATTGATTTGGCTTCGTTTGATTAGATCTGAATTGAAGCAAGCTTGCTCAAATTGTTTCATTTGGCCTACCTCGCTTTCGTGTGACGAGCTTCTGGTGGATATGTGTGGGCTTCTTCTCTGTTGCTGGCATCATTTGCCACCTCTTCTGGTTGAGGAGGGGGCTCAAAGGGGAGATGATTAATGGAAGGCCCCAAATTTTGGGGGGGTTCACCGCATCACCACAAGCAATGTCGTCGAAAATTTCGCGAACAAACAATGCAGGCTCATAATACAAAGAATTTGGGGGGTTAGTGGGGAGAGCCCCACCGAAACAAGAGCCCTACCGGGAGCAATCGGCGGCGGAGCGCTACCGGGAGTGCTCCGCCGCCTGACGTTTTGATGCGACGGCAGGCTCCATGGTGAGGGTTGGAAACGAAGAGCGGTTGGGGCGCCATGACGGCAGCTTCGACATAAGGACGAGAGTGCGGGGAGAGAGGTCAGCAGGCGGATGACGAGGCGGGAGAGGGATCATGGGGCATGGGGGAGTAGGCTAGTGGTGTCCGGGCGTTGCTGCAGGCTCTCTTGTTTGATGTTTCTGTTATGTGCTTGCTTGCTTGAGTGGAAGAACACGGGGGCAGCATATCTCATATCAAGGTCTTGCTGGAGCGGAGGAATGTCGCGGGGTAGGCGGGCGACGTCTGCGATGATGACACTCCTTCATCTCTTTGGGCTACCTGCGAGGGGCGGCTGGCAGGCTCAACGGTTTAGTCTCGTGACGTGGTTTGGAGAGTTGTGATGGTGTTCCTAGTTGCGGTCCTGTTATCTTCATTGTTCGGTCCTTTGGGATGGTTGAATAGTCGTCAACCACAGGCGGCCGAGTTGCTTGGGAGCCGATGAAGGAGGAGGTGAGGTTTGGAGAGAGGGGGGGTGCGTTTATGGATGTCGAGGGTAAGTGGTGTTCTTCCTCTTCACGTTTTGTAGCGGTGATTTTGTGATGACCTTGATGAGATTCTTAATGATGTGATTCTCAGATAGTTTTGTCTGGTTCAATACCTATTAGTTCCTCTAACCTTGAATTCTAGATATGAAACGAAAACATAACTAATACCTCTGATTCTGAGGTTTGAAAATCAAGATTAGATCAAGATTAATCCTGACCTGGTGTGGTTGCCTAATTCGGACTTAGTTTGCTTGCCTATTTCTTTTGAATCTCATATCATTAGCCGTGTCGACTGTCGTATGTTTTCTGGCTGAATTATTTTCTGGGCAATATTCTTAGCCTGAGATTCGTAAAATCAGAGGTCAGGCACCTCTGATTTCTTAAAAGTGTTACGATCCTGGTCATTTCCCAAGTGCAAGTTCACAATGAAAGACAATGTCACCCAATTGCGAAAGAAATGAAAGCACTTGCAAGAAATAAAGACCAGAGGAGAGGTAAAGAAGAGAAGAAGAAGAAGAAGAAGAAGAAGAAGAAGTACACCAGCAAGACCAATGACAATTCCCCCTTCTCTCTCCACCTTCCTCCTTCCTCCTCTTCACTAATCTTATTCTTCTCTCAACAATAATAATAACAATGAATGGATGAACCAGAACCAATGTCCGAAGTTCCCCCCTTACTGCTGACTCAACTCACAACCCAACAACAACAACAACAACGTCCACCATGGCTATGTCCTCCCTCCTTCGACCTCCTCTCTCAAGCATAGGCCATGGCGGACTACTAGAAGCCAGCTATGATGCTGCCCTGATGCCTATGACGCCTTCTGTGCCGACTCTGACTGAGTTACTTGCTCGAAGGGACCTCGCTCTCGAGAGGGGAGTAATGTAATGACCCGCCTAAAACACAGACTGAGAACACTGCTGATTTTTGGGATTTGTCAATGGAATGAATGCCTTGTTGTGATTCCCGCATTCTGCCGTGGTCCCAAGTCTGTGTGTGTGCGTGCTTGCTGGTTTGCATGCCCGTCTGAGTGCTTGCAGGGAGAGGTATTCTTTAGGGGCCACTCCCATGACTACATCCATGCAAGATACGTCAGTCATTCCCAGATCCGGAGTAGTGAATAGACTAGTCAAGTGCTGTTCCAAAGCCTGCATGGATGACCTCCATGTTTGGCCCTTGAGGGCCTCAAGCTTCAGTCTACCCTTGAGCCCAGCATGTTTATCCTGGTACCGGTCAAGGAGAAGATCCTCAAGGGTGCGAACAGGGGTGACCTTCAGCCAATCAGTCAGGTCTATGCGTTCATAGCCTGCTGCGACAGCTTGGAGCTCAATGTGGTTTCGCACGGCGGGCTCGGTATTAGTCCCTATGATCATACTTCGGTCCTCTTGCGGTATCCGCATGACCTCGAAGTATGACCTCATGGAACTAATCCAAGAGGTGATGTCTGCCTTCCCGTCATACTTGGACGGCAGCGTGGCCGCCCGCTTGTCCACCATGGGACCGCTGTACTGAACGCCAATAAGGACTGTGGCGTTTTGGGCTGAAGTCCCTGCATTTGGGACCGCGACCAGCGCAGAACTGTCGGCGCTGCCGCTCGAGGAGCTGGCACCGGATCCTGCGCTTGTCGTGGTTCCACTTGATCTAACTATGAGGGCTATGTTTGATTGAGAGACCGGGACTACAGCAGACCGAGGGTTAGGAGGGCGGGGGGTTCCGCTGCTCTTGGTTCCGCTGCTCAAGTGCTGTCATACGGGACTCGAGATCTTCCAAGTTCCGTAGTCGGACCAAGGCTGCGACGGCAGCAGCTAGCCTCTCCTGGAACCGGTCAGCATTGGCTTCCGGGACCTGTAGGAGGGCCTCCTGAGCAGCTATACTCTCAGCTCTAGCTGCTGCCTCCGCCTCCCTTTCCCTCTGCACGGCATCATCATACAACTTTTGAAAGAACGGTTTCTGGCTCTCGTCTGCTGCATCCAGCATGGCCTGCCATTGGTCAGATGTGATGACCGCCATGCTGGAGGAAGGGGTGTCAATAGAACTCTCAAGAGGGGTCCGCTCTCGCCTGACGTTTGGACGAACACTCCTCTTGCCCCTTCTCACACTCTCAAGCAACACACCTCTCTCCCTTTCCTCTCTTTTCGCTGTCTGCGCACGCGTCTCGATACTGGACATAGATAGTTCACATAAAAGAAACAAACAGAAAACCACTCAGAGAAGAAGGTAGAACTCCTCGCCGGAGCGGCGAATCATTTGGACTCTGAGTGTGGCACGCAGCAGAAGAAATAATAAAAATAAATAAAAAAATAAAACAACAGAGAGGTCTGATTTATAGAACGGGCCCGATCAGATCAGTTGGAGATCCCCTCTTGTCTAACCTGACAGAGGACGTGTCAGCACAATAAATCAGACGAAGAAGACTAACTGCAACAATGGAGATTTCGAGGGGTGCAGATGGTCGCCGAGTCAGACGCGGGGCAATATGTGATCGCACGCCGTAAGACCAGTCAAGATCCCCTTGAAAGGAATGCCCTTGTTGTCCGTGTGTCCCCCAGATTCAGCACAGCAAAGTAATGCACCGACGACAGCAAATCTGGGCCCAAAAAGGTCCTGTCCCGAGGCCTGGTCCCACTGGGTCCCAAGGGGTCCCAAGTAGGCCGTGGACCAGGACCAACGTGATAGGGGTGCCAAGTCGGTCCCAAACTGCCTCTACCGTACTGAAAAGGAAAAGACAACTTTCAGCAAGAACTCACTTCTACAGCCGTTCAGAAATGAAAAGACAATGCACCGTAGAAAGATATGTCATTTAGAGTAGATACATCATTCATCCATCCATCAGGTGAGAAAGCAATCCACAAGCTCACACACACAACCAAGACCGCARAGARGAKGAAGAGAACCCAGCACACCCCCAACAGGCCATGAAGCACCAAGCAACCTCCCASGGGCTTACCCAGGTCACACGGCACTTACCTGTGAGGCCCGGCCTCCAAAGATGGATAACGAGTCACTCCCCTCTCATATAAGTCCTCCTGACCCCTAGCTACYACTACACGAAGTGTCCTAGCATGRCTAAGAKGGCCTTCCTACACCCCTGTTGCAAAGYCRKAWCCCCCGTCGATGCCTGAAGACCAAAGTAGCAACTTGCAGCAATCCGATGCAGATATGGCAGCCTCCGATCAAGTCTYCCTCTTGAGGGGAAGCCCAAAAGTCACTCRRTGTCTTCCTGAAGTCCAGATTCCAGGTGCGAGTACCTCTCACTCTCTACTCCCTCTCGCTTACTCCAAACAGCCTCCTTTGTGTCTCGCCACCCCATACATTCACTCAAGCAACCTGGTTGGGTCCAATGTCGACCCTACATGACCTAACCAGGTGGGGGCAGCATCCCCATACCTCGCTGCCCCACTTAACCCTAACTTCCCAACCCTAATCCGAGATTAGGTCAGCCTTAACCTAATTCGAAATTAGGGTTAGGATGACTAACACCTCTCGCCAGCAAGTAAGTCCGCTCCGATATCAATTGTTATGATCCTGGTCATTTCCCAAGTGCAAATTCACAATGAAAGACAATGCCACCAAATTGCGAAAGAAATGAAAGCACTTGCAAGAGATAAGGACCAGAGGAGAGGTAAAGAGGAAGAAGAAGAAGAAGAAGAAGAAGAAGAAGAAGAAGAAGTACACCAGCAAGACCAATGACAATTCCCCTTCTCTCTCCACCTTCCTCCTTCCTCCTCCTCTTCACCAATCTTATTCTTCTCTCAACAATAATAATAACAATGAATGGATGAACCAGAATCAATGTCCGAAGTTTCCCCCTTACTGCTGACTCAACTCACAACCCAACAACAACAACAAGTCCACCATGGCTATGTCCTCCCTCCTTCAACCTCCTCTCTCAAGCATAGGCCATGGCGGACTACTAGAAGGCAGCTATGATGCTGCCCTGATGCCGAWMGACAACCCAAAGCAGCTATGTCGCYGCTTGACTTGGTCCRCTATGCCTGACTCTGCCYCGAGCTGCCCTGGTGCAGCGTTACCCCAACCGGGGCCTTCCAGATGCAGCGCCCAACAAGGTGATGAAGACGGTGTCCACCATAGCCAGGTAAGTGCCCTACCACTCTCCTACCATGTCCCCCTTCTTCCTCCTTCAAGCTGGGGTGCTCGCCATAGCCAGGCTGAGCCCCCAGCAGACCTTCACCTCCAAGCAGCGCTGCTTCAGTCCAGCGCTGCACTCCAGCAGCATGTCGCCAATCCTTGCATACCACAAATGAGGAAGAGCTCACCGCTCTTCCTGAAGATATAGCGGCCTACCGGCCTCCTGGGCGGTGACTTCCTAGGCCAATCGGCCTTCCAGCAACCGGTACCTCCTCCCTTTTGGAGGGAAACATCATTGCAGGCTCTGTTATGGTTCGCACAGGCCCTAGACCCGGGCTACTTGGACTGGTACCGGCCTACCTCTAGCCTACCGCTACTGGGCCTCTAAAAATGCCAACTTTTTGTCTTCTTCTGCTCGGCCTACCTTCTACTTGAGTGTTTTTCCCCAGCTGCTCTAAGTGTCGTGGGCCTACTCCCCGCTACCGGCATGTTTACCCCCCTGCAACCTTTCAAAGTCACGGCCACAGGTAAGTACCGGCCCGGTGGGCCTTGCAACCAACAAGTACCCTGGCGGGTCACACACATACCCAACCAGCAAGCACTCAAACAGGCATGCAACCCAGCAGGCACGCACACACACACAACCGGCAAGCACTCAGACAGGCATGCAAACCAGCAGGCAGGCACACACACAGACTTGGGACCACGGCAGAATGCGGGAATCACAACAAGGCAGTCATTCCATGGACAAATCCCAGAAATCAGCAGTGTTCTCAGTCTGTGTTTTGGGTGGGTCATTACAAAAGTAATTTTCAAATTTTGTCTTGACGCTTAAATTTATGATGTACGTAATCTTGATTTCTGAAATTCTAGTCACCTGTGTGTTCCGATTCAATTTTTGATTGTTTGATCTTGGTATGTGTGGGCACCTCTAATTTCCTAAAAGCAACTTTCAATTTTAACTCAATTCTTTTGATCTTCTGATTTGTCTTGACGCTTCAATTCATGAGGTACATAATCTTGATTTTGAAATTCTAGTCACTGTGTGTTCCGATTCAATTTTTGATTGTTTGATCTTGGTATGTGTGGGCACCTCTAATTTCCTAAAAGCAACTTTCAATTTTAACTCAATTCTTTTGATCTTCTGATTTGTCTTGACGCTTCAATTCATGAGGTACATAATCTTGATTTTGAAATTCTAGTCACTGTGTGTTCCGATTCAATTCCTGATTGTCTGATCTTGATTTGCGAGTTTTCAAAAATCGGACTTAGTTCTGATGTCGTTTTTGGCTATTGAATCTGAATGCAAGCATCTCCTTTAGGGTTGGAGCACCTCCCTGCGAGCGTTACACAGGGTGAGTGGTGTGATCTTTGAGAAGGAGGGGCGGTGTTGAGGGTTTGTCCTTTTCTGGGCCACGCTGATTTTGGGTCGGATCAGCTATGGCGGTTGGGGAGGGAGGACAAGGGGTGCTGATATCAGCATGGTGAGATGTTGTAGGGCTGTTTCACTTGGAGGGGGTGGGGCAGGAGGGAAGGGGGATCTTCGGCTCTGCGAGGCATACTGTAGGGGGTACTGTATGCAGCTGAGGGAGCAGGAGTGGCTTTTAGGGGGCTGTTCTGAATTGGGGCTGGGAGGTGAGGGGGCGCTTCCCCGTGGAGGCAGTATCAGACAGGGGGTCATTTTTTTAGGGAGAGGAGTAATCCGTTTTGGTTCTTGTGAGCCTTGTACATGCAATCGAGATTAGATTAGGCGTCGGAGTTTCCATGGGGAGAGAGGGTGTTTTTTCCCCTCCCTTCCCCTCTTCTTGTGGAAATAGTAGGCGTTGAAACGTGTATAGGGTTTTCTCAATCTTCTGATTTTTCAATGTGTTCTTGAGAGAGGTGAGTGGGAGAAGTAGACAGTGGGATATCAGGCGTAGCTCGTAGGATGGAAATAGGGTACAGCAGCAGCGGAGATGGTGGCTCTGCTGCAGTAAGTTTTGCCGGAGTGAGGTAAAGAGGATTGCTGGGGGGGGTCTGAGTTGTTTGTCCTCAGCCGAAGCCAGGTAATGCCCTGGTATCTCAAAAAAGGAGGAAAGGGGGGGGATCTAGAACTGGAGGATGAAAGGTAGTAAGGGGGCTCTCATCAGGAGAAGGTTGCTTGTTAAGGTAAGTAGGTTAGAAGGACGATGCTGGGACGACACAGGCCGGTGCTGGAGCTTTTGCTCTATGACCTAGGGGGAGCTTGAGGCCTGTGGAGTTATGCCAAGGGTGGAAAGCATAACCAGACCATTCCCACCTGTCTATAACCACCTCTCGAAGCGCTCTCTTAGGCCGGAGCATCTTATATGTGGACCTAGCTGGCAGGGAGTGCAAGTGGATCCGTTTGTCGGAGAAAACCCCGGGTCTTCGTGCGATTCACCGCTGCCCCTCCTGAGGGTCCATGGCCAACTCATGGATGGGTGGTTGTGGCTGAAAAGTCGTGGCCTCTTCCCCCTCCCCTAATACCCGTACCCTGAACACCTTTGAGTTGTCCCGCCACTCGAAAGGGTTAGTGGAGCCCTGAAGCTGGTTCCTTGCACTTATTGTGTAATATTCGGTCAGCACGTCTGCAGGCCACACCATAAGAAGGAAGAAGAAGAAAGAAGAAACCCTCCTCTCAGTAATGGTTAATAGGTGGTGTCATTTTCGGGCGATTTTTTCACCAGAAGTGTCCTATTTTCGTGAAGTTTTGCTTTTTCCTTGTTTTTCGGGGGGGAACCTATGCGGGAGTCACAAAAATGAGTTATAAATTATAATTGCAGTATGGGCTAAGATACAGTTTGCTATTGCAGTTCGCGCAATGTATACAACCCAGCTTTCTGGCCAGGTAGGGTGCCCGAAGTGCAACCGCAAACTGTATCTTGGCCGATAGTGCAATTATAACTCGTTTTTGTGACTCCCGTGTAGTTACCCCTTTTCTTTCTTTTTATGTTTGTATTATGAGCCTTTTTTTTTTATAAAGGAAAAACATGGATAATCTAAGTCAAAACGGAAAGCCACAGAAGCCCTTTGAATGCTGAGAACCCCTGGAATCCCCAACAAAACATTCTAAAATTCTCTAACACTGTCTTATTCCCTGTCGAGCTTTCCTAGGCCTCTTGCCCCCATCCTGCTAGGTTACAGAGCAACACAACTTACCCCAGCTCCGGCCAACATCGTACCGACAGCAACCCTTGGTTTTCCCTTGGAATGCCCGGCCCAAGGCATCCCCAGATCTCTCTACTAGGCCTCACGCTCCTGCTATCAACAGGTTACAGGGCAACCCCCCATCTCCGGCCAACGCCGTTCTGGCATCGAAAAACCGCAGATCCATGAATATAACAACATTAAAAAACCTAAAACGAGTTGCAAGAGGTGCCCAGAATCCTAAGGCATTCTCAAGACTTTCCTCATGAGATAGGCTAAAATTCAGAAAAAATATGAAAAGGCTTGGAAAAATATGAGAGCGGGGGGTCAAAACTAAAACTGCCTACTATCCAAGACTCCCCCCCTCAATAGACGAAACGTCGGTCCATGCTTTCAGTCCTCGTACCAGAACTCACTTGATCTCATACCCCCTTCTGCTAGGATAACAGGGCACCACAACCTTCCCCAGTACTGACCAACCTAGTTCTGACGGACAAGAAGTGCCTTCCTCCCTCGACATTTCCATTAGCGGCAAGCCCTTGACACAGGTTACAGGGTTAATACCCCGGCGCCGGCTACGTACTAACACAATCAGTCGGGTGGCTTGGGACTCGGTAGTACAACCCAAAGTTAAAGGGGGATTGGGCATTCTCGATCCCTCTACACAAAATCAGGCGTTGATCTTGTAGTGGATCATCCGATTGATTTTCGAATTCCCTGGAGACCCCTAGCCATGGAACAGATTGCATGTCTGGCACCCAACGCCCACACATCAATCGACGACCCCTTATCTT